CTTGGCCTTAAAGGGTATTATTTCGACTTATCGAAATGTTAACCCGTCGTCGTTCGATCGAGGTCGAACTCGTCTTTTTGGCGAAGGCCCCTGGCCTTAAAGTGCGTTATTTCGACTTATCAAAATGTTAACCCGTCGTCGTTCGATCGAGGTCGCACTTGTCTTTTTGGCGAAGGCCCTTGGCTTTAAAGGGTGTTATTTCGACTTATCGAAATGTTAACCCGTCGTCGTTCGATCGAGGTCGAACTCGTCTTTTTGGCTAAGGCCCCTGGCCTTAAAGGGCGTTATTTCGACTTATCGAAATGTTAACCCGTCATCGTTCGATCGAGGTCGCACTCGTCTTTTTGGCGAAGGCCCCTGGCCTTAAAGGGTGTTATTTCGACTTATCGAAATGTTAACCCGTCGTCATTCGATCGAGGTCGAACTCGTCTTTTTGGCGAAGACCCCTGGCCTTAAAGGGCGTTATTTCGACTTATCGAAATGTTAACCCGTCGTAGTTCGATCGAGGTCAAACTCGTCTTTTCGGCGAAGGCCCCTGGCCTTAAAGGGCGTTATTTCGACTTATCGAAATGTTAACCCTTCTTCGTTCGATCGAGGTTGCAGTCGTCTTTATGGCGAAGTCCTCTGGCCTTAAAGGGTGTTATTTCGACTTATCAAAATGTTAACCCGTGGTCGTTCGATCGAGGTCGCACTCATCTTTTTGGCGAAGGCCCTTGGCTTTAAAGGGTGTTATCTCGACTTATCGAAATGTTAACCCGTCGTCGTTCGATCGAGGTCGAACTCATCTATTTGGCGAAGGCCCCTGGCCTTAAAGGGTGTTATTTCGACTTATCGAAATGTTAACCCGTCGTCGTTCGCGTCGTTCGATCGAGGTCGCACTCGTCTTTTTGGCGAAGGCCCTTGGCCTTAAAAGGTGTTATTTGACTTATCGAAATGTTAACCCACTCGTCGTTCGATCGAAGGCCGNTTTCGGTCCGGAGATACAATTGGCGGGTGATGTTCTGGTTGCCGTGTGGTAGTTTCTCATTCTCCAATTGAAGTGTTTCTTTGTTCACTCGCTCGCGCGGCCTTTGTGTCCCTACTTGAGCAGAGAGCAGAAAGCAAATTAGAACGATACTTTTCTTGCCTCCATCCGATGAATCGGTGGATCAGAGTAGGTTTATAACGTAGCTCGTTTTGCTAGGCCTTTCGATGGGTGATGGAGCCGTTCCTACATTTGATGGTTGTATTCAGCTTTCTTTTCCTTTCTGGGATGCGCCTTTCTTATGCTTGGGTAGGGCTTTGTCTTAGCGATCTTCTTGAGGGATAATCGTGTTCCTTGTCTTTGATCTGGAAGAAACTAGGATATTTTACTAAGAAATTCTCCACAGACAGCGCCAAATTATTTGACTCAAAAGATATTGTAACCTTTTTGAATAAATCAATCGAAGAAAATAATGGGGTAAATCTTAGTCATTCGTAATAAATTCCAGATCAATGAACTAAAAGAAGAATAACATCTAAAAAGAAGTGCAGATAAACGATCTTATTGAGGCTTTCCAGTATTGTTCTCACTAATCGGTGGAGTAGGACATGTTACATATTACATCAGTCGCTCCAGATTGCCTCCTTCATCCTTCTATTTACCGAAGTTACAGGGAGGAGATAGATGGAGAATGGGAGAGATGTTTTCTCCCTCCCCAAAAAAGGCCCTCCTCTGAGAGGTTTTTACCCTCCTATATATACAGCCCTGGTCCTCCGGCTACATGCTCTATCGACGCTTCTCTGTGCCTCACACTCCTCGGTTACCCGCTGGAGGTCATTCTTTACCGCTTCGACGAAAGTCGTGAGGGCAAGATATGGAACAGCCCATGTCGATCCTTGTTGCCTTGCCGTCTGCGAGCGGGGGCGTTGGTCGGTCTGACCATATTGGTCAGATTTTGACCAATACAATTGTCTTTACGGTGATTTGATGGTGTAAACATCAAAATGACTCTTTAGACACCTTCTAACCAACTTTTGAATATCATCAAAATGGCTCTTTGGATAAAATATCAAAATGACTTAATTCCAGACTCATTTTAAGCAACTCTTAAAAGATCATGCTGTAAGATAATTAATTCGTAGCCATATCAGAGATTAAGACACAAGTACACAATCAATTTAGAGTTAGAGTCTAAAGAAGCGTACCGTTAAACTCCATGGATTCAACAGCGACAACAAACAACGATTAAGCTTGAGACCAACTTCCACGATCCACTAGCTACGTGCTCTCACAGCCCGGAGAACTTGACTGATGGGACGCCTACCGTTACCACGTATTCAAGAGACAGAATACGCTAGGGTTTTCTAAATAGAAAGGGAAAGGGGGATTGACCTCTATTTATAAAGAGTGTCTACCCATCACAGGTCAATAATTATTGGGCCTCACTTATCCACACACACAATATTTAATATTAGGCCTTTTATTTATCTACCACTTGAGCTACGTCACTGTCCTTTCAGGCTATAATCAATTAAGGTAAGTACAAATTCTAGCACATGCAACTCTTTAATGTGCAATTCCTGGATATTCTTGGTCTTAGAATGAGTCAACGGTCGTTAGACATCTCGAAATCCTCCCCGATGAAGCGGTACAATCATTTTGTTTTTTTTGGGGTAGTCACAAGCTTGAGATTTTCTGGAAAAAACGCATTTTTTAGTAGTGGAATTTTTTCAGTAGGTATTATCGGTCGATTTTCCGGTCGGAAAAACACATTTCTTTTAGTGGTGAATTTTTTTGTTCAAAAGAAATCAAGATTAGTATCCAAAAGCACTTTCCGCTAACCTATGATACATATGCATATCTCTTTGTTACCTAAATCAAGAATAGTTAACATTTGGTTGAATAAAGGAATTCAAAGCGAGGAAAAGAAAAAAAGAACAAGGGATCGGATTTCAAATATATATATATATATATATATATATATATATATATATATATATATATATATATGTTACGATTAGCCTGAGCTGTGCTCGGGCCCAATAACTATAGTCAAATGTTTTAGATTATAAGTTGTAAAAGTTTTTTTTTTTTAAATTTCGTGTGTAATCAAATATCGTTTGGCAGATTCACTGTTTACTTTTTTAAGCTGGTATACATAGATTATATATTAGTTATATATAATTATACACATATGATACAAGAATTATACATATATTATATATCAATTAACTTTTTTTTAGTTTAAGCGAAAGGTGGGCAGTTAATTGGGTTAATTCTTCTATTATTAAATAGGGCGGAGAGAGTATTATATAGTGACAGTTCCGACTTCACAATAAAGCAAGCAAAGCTCTCTTTTTAGGCCTTCAAATTTAAGGGGCTCATTTTTAGCAATAATAAATTTATAAGTTTTCTTTAAAAGAATTATTGTGTCTTTTAGTAGGAAAATAATATTTTCATATAAAAGGAAAGATAATTTTGTTGCGTTTGAATAAACCATCAATATTAGAATTATTATATGGAATATATGAATAGGTTTAAATTTTTAGACCCTCTTCCTTATAAGTTTACGTACTTTCTTTTTTTATTTCTTTCTTACTTCTTTCTCCAAGAGTTTAAAAATTCAACAGTTCAAGAATTTTAGTGGAAAATATAAGATCATTTGATGGCAAAAATTAAAAAAAAAATTGTCTTACCTTGAATATTCCTTAAAATATAATAGTCACTTTAATATTGATAGTTTATACTTATTCTAAATTAAAAGTGTTAAAGACGTGATTCTTTTTTAAATACTTATATTTCTTATAAAATAATGTACAAAATTTAAATACTTATATTCTTTTTTAAATACTTATAGTTTATACTTATTCTAAATTAAAAGTGTTAAAGACATGATTCTATAATTATTTAATTTATTATAGAATTTTTCTACATTTATGATACAACGTTACTAATTAAAATAATAACTACTAAACAATTTGTGAATTCTTCAAATGAGATTAGTTAATTTGTAAAAAATGAGTTGCGAGCATATTATTTATCCCACATATAAATTCATTAGTATTTATTACATTAGAGTAGGCATGTAAAAAAAATTAGTTAGAAACGGAGGGAGTACACATTGGTTTAATAATAGTAATGATAATATTTGGAATTTGATTTTTAGCTGTAATAGACAACATAAGCCTAGAGAGAAAGTGTGACCACGTGTCCACTATAAAAAGCAAATTCAGAATGAGGTATGAATGAAAGTTCAGATGGGGTCCACATATTTAGGGCTAAAATGTCTGTACAGTAAAAGTTACAGTAACACACTATATGGACCAATGAAAATAACGAATGCAATCTGAAAAAAGTTGTAATTTCAAAAATACCCTTTTGCCAGGCAGGCATGTTGACGGAGCTAATAAGTAGGAATATATACATTATGCTGATCTTAGGCTTCTATAGAAGTCTGAAATATATGCTAGCGACTAGCGTACAGTAATCATGTGCTTGGTCCTTGTAGTGCAAGAGATCTTTTGATGGACTGAAATGGACTAGTGTCACTATTATAGGACATAAGGTTTTCTGTGGCGATAATTTTGTCGCCACCAAATTGTAAGTGCGCGCGAGTCACCACAAGAAATGATATATAGTTATGTTTACTTTTTGTGGTGAGAATAGTCGCCAACAAAAGCTAATTTGTTTTGTTATTAGCTTTTGCAACGACTTTTCTCGCCACAAAAAAAAAAAAAAAAAAAACAAATGCGCCACAGAATATATTATTTAAGATAGGTCGCTACCCAAGCAAGCGACATATAGGTACTCGGTACTTACGGTGACGGCTTTCGCCACAAGTGGTCGTCACTAAAACCTTATTTTATGTAGTGTGTGCGATCGCACAAACAAGGTGTGCGGCTGCACATTATTCCAAAGAAAATTTGAGACTGCATAACTGACTTGTTATGTGTTCTCACAGTGAATGTTACACAGGAATAGGGAGAAATCACATAATATGAAGAGACAGACTGTAATGTGGAAAATCTCACATATGTAAGTATTAATAATATTTCTGCTGATTATAGGTGAAATGTTGGCAAACATATAGTATGAAACTACCTAGGAAAGCTCTCTGCAGCCCTTTAAATAGTTTTAACTACTTCTCCACAAGACACATAATATAGCTTAAACCTGAATGAAACTAAACCATTTGCAACTCCAACAGCAACTATAAACTAACTGACTGAACTATGAAAGTAGACAACTTTCAGGCTTAAGTGATGAGATCAAAACCCTGCTCCAGTAGACTTTGAGCTAATTTTTCATTAGCAGCTTCAGACGGATGGAATCCGTCCCAGAATACGTACTGTGTCGCATTCGAGCATGTCCCGATTGACCTGACATTGCACAGGAATGATGTTTCTAATGTACCAGTTCCGCAACATGCTCTCCTCGATTCGAAGAATCCTGAGAAAATGCAAATTATCATAGATACATTGTCCTCTTTGATTTCAACATAACTAATTCTCCGTCCACTCAGAAGAAAAAATATATAAGGTTTCATTTCATGTACAGTCAGTCTTCTTTTGGTAGCTCAATGCACTAAGCTCCCGCTATGCGCAGAGTCCAGAAAGGGCCGGACACACAAGGGTCTATTGTATGTAGCCTTACCTGCATTTCTACAAGAGGTTGTTTCCACAGCTCGAAACCGTAACCTCCTGGTCACATGACAACAACTTTACCAGCTACGGAAAGACTCCCCTTCCACCACTAGTATATACGGAAATCCTCTTTTCGAGAGCAAAGGATAAGGCCTGAGATCTTGGATTATATAACTTTCCAGTAAGAGAGAGTTGGTCTGACCGATTCACATCCCCGCGATCTGGTAACTCAAGGAATCCTTGAAGGATTTCTTCCGGGAATGCTACTTCAACTACAACAAGAAGGACAAAATAGCCCTCTCTATACTGAATGGATCCAGTATTAACAGTAAAGTCACAAAACTATTTTTTGTCATATTAAAGTTAGGTAACTTGACGCACTATAGCAATAAAGTCAAAGTTTGGCGACATAATTACTATAGTGGATAAAGTTCAGTTATTTTAAGCCAGATTTATGATCATTGATCAGTATATAGTCTAAGATGAAAAAAGAACATGTTTTAGCAAATTACCATTATCGGTAGGTTTAGTGATGAGATCCAAGAGAGGCTGATAGATGTCGAAAACTACAAGTTTAAGGCCAGGAAGTCTGCTCTTCAAATTGTCTGATGTTGTGTTGAGTTTGTTGTTGAAGAAAACTGCATCTTGGTTCAATCTTGCTACACATTGATTGCTTCCTGCACCAAATAAAGTAATGGCTGCTGGCAAACAACCCGTTGGCGGCAGAGTTGTGACACCAATTTTCCTTGCTCCCAAATTATAGAGATTCTGTTCAGAGGCAGAGCCAGGATTTCAATGTTATGAGTTCTAAATTCTAGAACGACGACTTTAAGTGCTACTAACTGCTTCTAAATTTAATCTTTATTTATATTTAGTGAAGTTTTTAACATAAAGACACTGTTTGAGCAAAAGCTACTGGATTCGGCTGAACCCGTATTAGATCCTCTAGCTCCGCCCCTAGTTCTGTTCATACATTACTAATAAGGTTAAAATACTGATTGGATTTTGTGTATACTGTTAAGTTCAATCATAATTCAAACATATACATATTAGTTTGTCATGTCATGTTTAAACTATCCGATTATCCAAAGATATCTAAAGACGTACTACCTACTATAACAGATAAATGTGACATTACGGTATAAAAATTACTTTACACTAACGGTGTATATAACTTAAGCTCGTAACGAAAAGTAGACAGGAGAAGAGGAAAAGGACCTGAACAAATGAAGAATAAGAGTGCATAAGCATGTCCGAGAAGCGATCAGGTGAGTAGATTCTGTTGAGCATTGGATTTATGTAGTAATTCTGAATAAAATCACTGCTACCTGCACTTATAAGATGTATTCCTCCTGAGAATATGTTGTTAGCCTGTGTCCTCCCTACCAAATTCACTACTTTTCCTTGCCATTCCCTGTAATTATTTAGCTGTTGTGCCAGTGTAAGGGCGCGCTGCAAATAATTCCATATAGTAATATTCAAGTTAGTTATCCACAAGAGACCAGAATATTAATTAATTTCATGTATCATCATTCAACTTTATCCCTTATAAAGTTAAAGTCATAAACTTATTTTTTGAACTTTATCAACTGTAATAGTATAGTCATTGAACTTTACCCGCCATAACGACAAGACGTATCCATCATCATAAAGCCACTTTACTGGAAAATTGTGTAACTTTACTATTTTAGAAGATAAAGTTCACTTATTTTAATATGACAAAAAATAATTTTGTGGCTTTATTGTTATACTAGGAAAATTTCAGTTACTTTAACGTGAAAAAAAATAGTTTTGTGACTTTACTATTTTAAGGGTTCTTAAAAAGAAAGAGTTCGGGAAGGTTATAACACTGCATGCTCTTTAGGTGTATTATTTTTATTGTCAGTGCCAATATTCACAGTTTATTACCAAAAGAAAGAAACAATGAGTTTGAGAAGGTTCAATTGGCCAACATGAATTTTTGGATCCACAGGGTTATCGACATCAAGTTCGAACTAAATTCTTGTTTGAAATTATTTGTAATATAGAAATAAAATTATGAAAAAAGTTGAGTAACCATGCGTGAAATGACCACTTCTCGGCAGTGGCGGAGCCATCTTAGGTCAAGCGTGTCAAGTGACACTCCTTCGTTAGAAAATTACATTGTGTAGTTAAGTCAAAAATTTATTTTTATGCATATATACTATATATATGTTGACTCCCTTTAGCTTTTTTGTGTGTTTACTTCTTTATATTTTGATACTCCTTAGTGAAATTCCTGGATCCGCTACTGCTTCTCGGGCAAACATAGAAAACTTATAGAGTGAGATTCAAGAAACTTTACATAAAGTTGAGGAGTCCTGTCATAATAACCAGAAGCAGCAGAAGCAAAGTTGACACCAGTGAGTATGTTTTTCCCTCTTGCTTCTGGGCTAAAGTAAGCTGGTGGATATGAGGTGAACCCAAGATATTCAGCTGTGCATAATTAAAACATGCAACTATGAGAAAAAGATATAAAAATGTTACAGTACAAAACAATACAATACTACAACAACATACTCAGTGTAATCCCATAAATAAAGTCTGAAAAGGGTAGTGCGTACACAAACCTAATTACCCATACTTTGTGTGAGGTAGAGAGGTTGTTTCAATAAACCCTCGGCTCAAAACAATTACAATAATATATACTCTGTGTAATCCCACTAGTAGAGTCTGGGGAGGGTAGTGCATACGCAGACCTTACTCTTAACTTGTGTGAGATAGAGAGAGGCTGTTTTCGATAGACCCTCAACTCATAACAGTACAATATCAAACGATACATTATGAAACAATAAGAACAATTTCTCTAAACATATATATTACCAGTGAAGTCAGTGGCCAGCTTTCCGTTGCAAAACCTTCCTGTTGGTCTCTGAGTAACAAAATCTCTTCCATAAGGAAGAAAATTTGCTTTGATTAGAGTACTTAAATTGTTATTATTTCCAGCATCAACTACAGAGTCTCCAAAAATGTTCAAAGCTGGAACTAAAGGATCTCCATTTGACACAGAAAATACCATAACAAGAACAAGAGTAGTACCTAAGAAACATTTCAAGAATCCCATTTTTCTCTATTTTTCCTCACTTTTTTCTTTTCTTTTTTTTGGGGGGTTGAGAATTTAAAGAATTGGGAGTGAAGTAAAGGTCAAAGTGAAATAACTGAAGGATAGAAAGTTGCACATTTTAAGGACATGCATGTTTGGCACCACAACCTAAAGCTAATGTTGGAATGTATGTTGACATTATTAGGCGAATTATATAATATAACTGTCAAAAAGCTTGTTTCGTTATTGTCCTTATTATAATTCTGTTTTAGGAATATGACGAATTATTTTAATAAAAGCTAGTTTAAGATACTTTTCAGAAAACTGAAAGCAAAATTCGCGTGACACAGAAAATTTGTTCCAAAAAGAAAAGAAAAAATTAAGAGGAAAATAAAAGGTCTTTGACGGCTAAATTTTGTGAGTTAATTAAAACTTCAGTCATATCATTGTGAGGCTATTTGAATTAAGTTTATGTAAAAGAAATTAACTTTGACATATACAATGGTTGCAATAAATGCTAGAGAAGCTCGAGGTTAAAGATAGATGTTTGACCCCCCCCCCCCACCCCACACACACACACCAAAAAAAACACACACACACACAATTAATGGAATATTTGGTCAAATTCATCTTCATCTATAGAGGAACTATGAGTCTTATCCTATAATAATAACAACAAATACCCAGTGTAATCCCACATTGTAGGGTTTAGAGAGGGTAAAGTGTACGCAGACTTTACCCCTACCTTATGAAGGTAGAGAGGATGTTTTCAGAAGACGTTCGACTCAAGAAGACAAGATAAAAACAGGAGAACAGTAATAAGAAGGTCATGTCGGAAATACTAAAAATAAAAACATTAACAACAAAAAATAAAAAATAAATATAACCAAGTAAGGGGGACAACAAATGTTACTAGACATCATGAATAAGAAAACACTAAAGTGATAATGCTAGTGCTGGTATGCAAAACAAAAAACAAACAACCAAAACAAACGTAGCAGATACGAAGTCCTGAACTTCACGGCCTACTAACCCTTAATCCTAATTTTCGATTTCCACAACTTCCTATCTAGTATTATTCTAAAATTTTCACACACACAAAAAAAAAATCTTGATATATGTTTGTGTACATAAATAATACTCCCTCCGGTTCACAATAAGTGTCCAATTTACTTTTTCATTTTGGTTCAAAATAAGTATCCAGTTATGTAATCAAGAAAGAATTCAATTTGTTTTTACAAAATAACCCCTATGTACATATCCCTATAAAGTTTTCTTACTCCTCACATTAAATGTTTAATTAGGGGTAGTTTAGTCATAGTAGGTATTTTTGTATAGAATTTAGTATTTTCTTAATGGGCGTGCTAAAAGTAAATTGGATACTTATTGCAAACCGGAGGGAGTATTCTCATAAGTAGTGTACAGATATACAATTATGTAGGAGAATTAGTGTGTCATATAAGAAGGCATTTGTAATGTCAATTGTGAAAAACAAGAATCATGTACTATTCCTAGGAAAGGCGAAAGGCATTTAATTGGGAAGAGTAATGCACACAACAACCTAAAGTATAAATGAATCCCAACCCCCCTACTAATTATGTTGCATTCAGAAATGAAATATCAGCATCCTCTTTAATGCTACTGCAAAGCTTCAGCATTCAGCTACTGTGTATTGCTCGACAGTATACACTTATTATAGCCTCTCTTTTAAAAGGCGGAATTGGGACTCGATCGTCTAGGGCGGAGCACTCGTAAAACGTCTCTGGGCTTATGTGTGGGGCTTAGTTCCGTGAGACTTACGCCTCGGCCATCGGGGTTTACGTCCCGGACACGTCCAATGCCCGCCCAGCATACTGAGCTCGCCTAATAGAACTTTATGCAATTCTATGTAATTAACTAACCTTGTAAATTCTCAAATTTGTTTAATAAATCATTTGACTATTCAAAATACTTTTTTCCTTAATCATAAATCATTAAGTTGAGAGTATTTTATGTCATAATTAAAATAAAAATTATTACACGTTATCCACTAAGACTGCTATGATAGTTACTTTTAAATAAATCTTTCATTTATGTGACGACCCAACCCGTCGTCTCATGTATTACAGCCTCGTTTCCCCCATTTATTGCTCTTTCATGTTTTATTATCAGCAACTGGTGAGTTAGAGTTGAATTGAATTTGTTGGCTAGGAAATGAGACACTTAGTCTCTTTAAGGAAGGTTTGGTTTGGAAAAGTCAACCGAACGTTGACTTATTAGTTAGAAGGCTCGGATGTGAATTCCGGTGATTCGGTTAGCTTCGGGAGGTGATTTGTGACTTAGGAGTGCGATCGGAAGTGATTTTGGAGGCCCAGAGTAGAATTAGGCTTGAATTGGCAAAGTTGGCACTTTGGCGAATTCCGTGGATAGGTGAGATTTTGATCCGAGGGTCGGAATGGAATTCCGAGAGTTGCAGTAGCTTCGTTAGGTGATTTTGGATATGTGTGCAAAATTTCAGGTCATTCGGAGGTGTTTTGGTCGGGTTTTTGATCGAATGCGTAATTCGGAAGTTTTTAAGAAACTTAGGCTTGAATTCGATGTGATTTGATGGTTTTAGCGTTGTTTGATGTGTTTTGAGGATGAGAACAAGTTTGAATGAGGTATTAGGATGTATTGATATTTTTGGTTGAGGTCCCGGGGGCCTCGGAGTGAGTTCGGGTGTTTAAACGAGAGTTTTGAAGTTTGCTTCAGGTCTGTTGTTGCTGTCATCTGGTATTTCCGCTTCTGCGGAAATGAACCGCAGACGCGGTTCCGCAGAAGCGAGTGGTGGATCACATAAGCGGTTCATGGCCTGGTGGAGTGTTTCCGCAAAAGCGGAACATTTTTCGCAAATGCGAGTCCGCAGAAGCGGACTATAAACCGCAGAAGCGGTCTTGGGTGGTTCGTAGAAGCGGATGAGGAGACGCAAAAGCGGACGTTGGGTTTTTAATGAAAATCCGCAAAAGCGGGATGTTGGCCGCAGAAGCGGTCCCGCATAAGCGGAAACGGGACCGCAGAAGCGAAATCAACTGTTGACAGAAGGGTTTAAAATATTATATTTCATCCGCGAATAAAAGGTAGTTTCCACCATTTTTAAGCGACTTGGAGAGCTTTGGGCGAGAATTTTCGAGGGTTTTGACTGAGAATCAATTGGAGGTAAGTCTCTTGGCCTAATTATTCGAGTTTATGGTAGAAATTACATGTAAATTGTGGGAAATTCATCAAAAACAGGTCAAGCTAGGGCTTGAAAAGTTGTGATGTAAAAACGGATTTTTAAAGGGCATTTGAACTCCGATTTTGGTAAAATTGGTATGTGTAGACTCGTGGGGAGACGAGGAATCCAGTGATGTAAATTTCGTAATTTTTTGAGAAGTGGTCCCGGGGCTCGGGTTTTGCCAACTTAGTGAATTTTGGTATTTTTCGAGTCTTTTCGATTGGGTTATGTTTCTTTAGCCTATTGTAATGTATTCGTTGTGGTTTTAATCAGATTCGGCGTGCGAAGAGGTTGATTCGAAAGGCAAAGGCATAGCGAGCTAGACTTGTGGCCGGCTTGAGGTGAGTAATAGATGTAGATGATGACCTGAGGGTTTGAAACTCCGGTATATCACATTGTGACGCTATATTGAGGCGAGACACGTACTCTATGACGAGTGCGGGGTCGATTGTGACTGGGGATTGTGACCTAGTCCGTTCCGATTGATGTTCGTATTGTGTTCTTGACTACTTGGATTTTATGAATATGTTTGGGGCTTTGTGCCTATCATTTGCATCCTTCAGGGATCCTTATCACTGCTTCCATGATGCTTAGCATATTTCATGATATCAGTCCTGAGTTAGACACTGCCTCGAAATGTTTAGTAAATAAATAAAGGTTTAAGCACTTAGCTCTATAATTCCTAATAATTGAAACAAAAAACGGACAATTTGACTGTGCCCGATTGGCTTGCATGCACTATATATATATCTGGACTGAGTGTGGATCGGGCTGCACGCCGCATCGAATATTACGATGATATTGCGCTTGGGCTGTAGGAGCCCCTCCGGAGTCTGAACCCCCACAGTGAGCGCGGGTACCCAAATGGATCGGGCTGCGCGCCGCAGCGGTCATGTGCATTGCATTGCATTCATGCATTTGTATCTGTTGGTCTTAATTGTCATTGTCTGCCGTTGTTTCATCATTTAACGTGCTGAATCGTTGATTATAACTTTATATTGTAATATTTCGGGATTTCTTACTTTCAGTCATTATATATGTTTATTACTCACTGAGTTGGAAGTACTCACTTTACTCCCTGCACCATGTGTGCAGATTCAAGTGCTCCGGAGACTTAGTGGAGCTGTTTGCTGTTTTCGTGAAGTTTATTTTCAGGAGTTGTTGAGGTAGCTGCCTGACGTCCGCAGTACCCGACACCTCCCCTTTATTTCATTTATCTTTCCATATCCTAGACTTCTTTATTACTATGGATATATTACTCTGTTACATCTAGAGGCTCTAGACTCGTGACTCCAGATCTATTGGGGAATGTTTGGATATTCGTTATTATTTTTCGTACTATTTTATTTAGATTCGTATTGGAACCTTGATAATTGCTATTTTAATCGTATTATTTGTTAACGGATTGCGTATTTGGGTTGATAGTATTTAATTGGTCGGGCTTGCCTAGCATTAGTGTTGGGCGCCATCACGACCGGGATTGGGGTGGTGACAATTTAAAAGGTATTTATTTATTAACTTTTGTTATGTCTTTACTATATAATAGTCCATAATTTTTTATAAACATTTTTCTATATATTTTTTTTCACGTTTACGAGAGACAATACTTATTAATTTAATAGCTTAGTATTAACTAGTAACTATTTACAAATAATTAGTTATCATGGTATTGTATCGTAAATTATGTGTCACTTTATTAACTTGTTGAAACTTAAAAAAAATGATGCTAGAATATCGTATTTAAATTATGAATTATGTTTTTATATATATTTTCTTTCAAATAGAAAGCATATTAAATAAAAGGAGTATTTTAAGAAAAATATCAAATTATAATATCGAAATTAATTTTAAGAAAGACGTGAAAATAATTTTTTTTCTGACCTTTATTGCTTTTCCATATATACCTATAGTACTAGTGTATTCTTGTATTCCCTGCGTTTGGGTTTCGAAAATGTATTGCTTTTGCTTCGGTTACCTTTTTCGATTGTGATTACTGTTTATCTTTATATGGACTCTCCTTTATCATATTTTCTTACCTTAACTGTGGTGTTTATGCATTTCTTTAGCCAAGAGTTTATCAGAAATACCCTCTCTATTTTTTATAAGGTAGGAATAAGGTTTGCGTACACTCTACCCTCTCCTGACTTCACTTGTGTAACTTTATTGCGTACATTGTTAATTATTTATCATCCAATTTTCACGGCTTGGATTTACATGGAGCTTAAGGTAACGCCTAGTAAACCGGTTGTTCGAGGAACAAATAGGAAAATCGATGAAAGTTTACATTGACGATATATTGGTTAAGTCCCTGCGAGCAGAGGACCATTTAAATCATTTGCAGGAAACCTTCAGCAAATTGAAGAAGTACAATATAAAGCTGAACCCGGAGAAATGTGCGTTTGGAGTCGGATCAAGTAAATTCCTTGGATTCATGGTATCCAACTACCTTTTACCGCTTTTAAATTACTTGATTATTGTGATTATGGAGATATCTTGAAACGAATCATGTGTATGTGAATCCGTTCTATTTACTGTGCTAAAAATCATGTCATACGTGTACACTTTAATAACACTTTATTATTATTATTATTAAGATTGTTTGGCAAAGGCGCACGAATGCGTACCTTGGTTTGTTTTAAGGATCATAATTATGTCACGCGAACGTATACATAATTATGATAATAGATTTAAAACGCGCCTAAACATTCTACGAATATTTAAAAGTTGATTAGTTTAATGTTTGGGATTAATGGCAAAAGTCTGGGATTTCCTTTGTATGTTTTCACCGGTACTTTAACAGTGTTCTTATTACTTTATTGTTTATACCACATGTTGCTTCCTGTTGCCATTCACTTATTCCTGCTTTAATTATTAGCTTTATACTTTTATACTACACAGGTTACTTTGACTAGTAGGTCTTGACTTATACCTCGTCACTACTCCACCGAGGTTAGTCATGATACTTATTGGGACCCTAACGCTAAGATTAGGGATGTGAGCTTTGTCTAGGTTAATTAATCTCCTACCTGCACTTGGCAATTTAGAGAATGAGTTCAAATTTATTGTACCTGCAAAAGAAAAACTAGGTTAGTTAAATAATCCGCCATTGTGTTGCCCTCCCTTAGAACATGTTGGAAGATCACATTGAACCTTAGGCCATCAAGTCAGACTTCAGGCTAGTAGCCCGCTGTTCCGAGAGGTTGTTTCGAGTGCGGGGATCTTGGTCACGTGAGGAGGTTATGCCTCAGGCTTCGGGGCAAGGCAGTACCACAGGGTTCTCGGCCTATGATTACAGTGCCAGCTGCCGCACTAGCCGTCGAGCGCCTAGAGGCGGATGGCAGGTGGGTAGGGGCCGTCCTAGAGGTGGAGGTGAGTCTGGCGAGGGCCAGCCAGGTGCATGCCAATCAGGTGGAGGCCAGTCAGTCAGCGCTCCAGCTAGGTTCTATGCTTTTCCAGCCAGATCAGATGCAGTGGCCTCAGATGCCGTGATCACATATATTATTTCTGTCTGCGGTACTTTGTTGGAATATTATATTGAAAGATGCAAGCCACAACCATAACTAGCTAGTTAGATTCGGGTCAATTGGTTTTTGGCTCTTTACAAACTTGTTTTTAGTTTTATGACCCTACCTCTTTTTTTACACATGAGAGATTTACTTTTACACATAAGGGATCTACCTTTAACACATAAGAGAACTAAAAAAGTTATTTTCTTAAATTCAAAATTGTAAAGGGGCATAATGTACAAATAGCAAGTTAGATTCGGTGTATTTTTATGAACAATACATGCAAAGATAATTACAAGAGACAATATTATTAGGATTCTAAGTTACATGTACTAATTCCGTACATAACCTTTTACACCATCACCAAGCTAAATCATCTATAAGTGACCTGATTATGCTAATATTCTTTTCAGGGGCGGCACAAACATAAGTGTAGCCTAAAGCCAAAGTTTAATGTGGGGTCAAAATTTTTAAAAGAAAATTATGATATATATTTTTATTTAAAGTCTATTTTTCTATCTTTTTGAGATGCAAAGTTAATAATTTTATTATAATCGATTTCCTCTAATAATTCCTTTTCAATTGATCATATAGCCAACCCATTTAATCTATCTTGAGATATTATTAATCTCAGGTAAGATTTTATCAATTATAATATTGAAAAACTTCTTTTCTTTGAGGCAACTGTTATAGAAAAACTCTACTTTTGTACGAAAAGTACTAAATATATTTTTTTAAGTACCTATAAACATATATTTTTTCTAAAAAAATGGGGCCTCCAAAATTTGGGGGCTTAAGACAAACGCCTTACTTGAAACAATGTTAGAGCCGGCCATGATTTTTTTACATTATTGGTGTGTAGAATTTAAATTTATATTATTAATACAAAATATAATATATTCTCTTGATTCAACGAAAAGAAACTTTGTCAAAATGTAAGCAAGTCGTCTTTGAATAAGCAATTAACAAAAGTAGAATGAACTATGAAGCCCAATGCAACATGTACTCGTTCAAAGGCAAGTCAATTGCCATATACATTGTATTAGAATATATCTACACTTCATTTATTGGGAGACAAATAATTCCAATATTATTACATAATGTATGTACCAGTAAGATTAAGAAGAGCTCCTCTAAGATCAAGAAGAAGCTGTTGCACCAACTTTTCATTGAATAAAGAAAATTTAAAAATATAATAATAATAATAATAATAATAATAATAATAATAATAATAATAATAATAATAATAATAAACTCAGACGAAGGGCGAGAACAAATATTTTAGACGTTACATCAATATAATATTATATACCTAATTTAATTCTCTAATGTGGACTTCTATTCATATACCCAATATTCTTCCCAAATATAAAGTTGGGGGATTATTTGTATGATAAATTTCGAAAGGCCAAACTTTTCATCAATGCATTATAAGCTTGAAAGCATCATTTAGACTCTCCACCACATATTCATAACCAAGATTGGCAGCTCGACCCTGGAACTCATCAAACTCAGCCTCTGGAACTTGTATCCCAACTAAAACATTTGCACCAATTTGTCCCTTTTCAAAAGCAACACAAAAAATAGAACAAATTACTCCAAAATAATAGCACAAAGACTAAATGCATACTTGTACTAGCAGTGAAAAATGGAGGTATAAGTTCTAAATGGTTACCTGTGCGCGATAATGGATCAAACTTATATTCCAACGCGGGCTGAAAGTATCTAAAAACTTCAACAAAGCACCAGGCTTCTCCGGAAAAGTGAATCGACAAAGAAGCTCATTGGGAAGATTTGATCTACCACCCATCTGGAAAAGACATAGGGTTGTTACATAAATAGCTGGTTAGATTCAATGTTTACTTTTTTTTAGCCGTAGATTATACACAGTTATACATATATTGTACATAATATATAAATTCATTCACCGACTATTTTTAATTTAAGAGATTAGGCAGAAATCAATATCTAATGAAATCTCCATATTTCACTAAATCAAGTACAATCAATTCAACATGCTTTTCACTACAAAGAAACAAACCTTGGCTCTTTGGTAATGTACTCAAAACAACAAAGTATGAGACTAATATTCTTTCTACGATTGAGGATGTCAATTATCAAATACATTGATATACTACTTAAAACTAATTACTTTTGCGATTCATTAAATAACAATAAGTAATAAACACAGTGTCATCTGTAGGATTTGGCAAAAAAGGGCAGCCCGGTGCACTAAGCTCCCGCTATGCGTAGGGTCCGGGGAAGAGACGGACCACAAGGGTCTATTGTACGTAGCCTTACCCTGCATTTCTGCAAGAGGTTGTTTCCACGGCTCGAACCTGTGACCTCCTGGTCACATGACAGTAACTTTACTAGTTACGCCAATAGGCCGTTTCCATTGCTCGAACCGGTGACCTGCTAGTCACATGGCAGCAACTTTATTAGCTATGCCAAGGCCCCTCTTCGTCATTTGTAAGGTTTGATTCCATAAAAAAGATGAAAATCAGGAGTTTACCAAATGCCTCAAGTGATCTTTGACCAAGTCATTGTCCGTAAGATTAACAGTATGCAATTGTGCTGATTTCATCCTCTCCATCAAAGTTTCAGGTTCTGATTCTTTTTCAATGCCAACACTGCAGATCAAAACAGAACACAAGATTTTGAATAAAAAGGGTTCCAATGTAAAAGATAAATTCTAGTTAACAAAGAGTGAAGTCTGTTAAAATAAGAGATCAAGAAACTTGCCTGTAAAGAACTTGAGCTTTTTCATTGCCAGAATTATATCTGTACTTAACTTCAGTAAATTTCATTGTTGTTCCGACCTGTGATCCAAGTCAATATTTAACATTTGTCAGACAGACTTAACGGATATACAGTCAAACCTCTCAATAACCGCCTCATTTGTTCTGAATTTTTGTTGTTGTTATAGCGAAGTGTTGTTATATAGAACTTATATTATAACATAGCATGAAAATTGGTTCCATAAAAAGCTTGGCTTTTATAGTGAGTGACTGTTATATAGCGATGATGTTATAGAGAGGTTTAACTAAGGAAAAATGACATATTAAGTGCTATAAGTCAAGTGACCTGTTCACAGAACCGTTTGAAGCTTCCCGGCTCTTCTGGCATAAATGTAACTAGCACAGCTTCCCGCTTTCTACCAACATCTGCGAGCTCGCTTATCAATCTTAGTCTATCAAAGTTCGTATTAGCTCCACTTGTTATTGCTATGACGTTTTCATCCTTCAGGCCATAGTATTTGCAGTATGCTTCAGCTCCGGCTAGAGCAAGTGCACCTGCAGGCTCTAATATGCTCCGTTTCTCTTCAAACATGTCCTATCCAAAAAAAAAAAACAAGCTACTGTCATGTCTAATATACTAAAATTCAGATAAGAAAATCAGTCGTCAATTGGCCAATTCCTATGACCTGCTGCGCGAAATAGCCACTTCTAGTTTATTTTGAAAATGGTCTATTATATGACAAGATAAATGAGGTACAGATATTGTGGTTTTGTCATACAGCATAACACTATAGGCGTGCAAAGTTAGACCCAGGATTTTTATGCAACGGCGGCGCAGTATTCTGCTCAACCAGTGCCACCTAAAGGCTTTTAGTGTTCAGGGTGCCAAGTACTTTAAATTAATCATTTTCAAGGTATATACATATACATTTACAGGATTTCTGCCAAAGCTTACGAGGTCCAGTGACCCCTCACTTTAACACATAGCTCCGCCTCTGCAGGCGTGATGAAGGAAGAGCAAGTGATGGTCATTTTTATAAAACACTCAATTAAGGACCCTTTTATAAAGAGAGACATTGACCAAAATTGTGATGGTCATTGTCATTCCAGGGAGATAGCTGATGCTTGAAAAAGCATACTAAAGGGTATTGAAACATTTAGTTTTCAGTAATAGTAATGGTGAAAGCAAGCAGATAAAATAAGGTTTTTTGTAATCCATGTATAAAGTGAATTGTAATAAGTTGATGGCTAACCTTTATCGATGCACATATAGCGTCGCGATTGACTAGGACCACGCCATCTATTAATTCCTTACAGAGACGGAAAGTTTCTTCGCCAACCACTTTAACAGCAACACCATCTGCAAAACGTCCGACTTGGTCTAGCATTACTCTCTGACCATAGTGTAATGACAATGCCATTGCATTTGCATCAGATGGCTCAACTCCAATAATCTTTATATGAGGGGCAACTCTTTTCATATAGGCAGCAATACCAGCTATAAGACCACCTCCACCAACAGGCACAAATATCGCATGTATTTTATCTTTGAGTTGGCGATTAATCTCCATACCGATAGTACCTTGCCCTACGATGATATCTGGATGATCAAACGGAGGGATGAAGATGCGGCCTTCCTCTTCAGCCCTCTTTTTGGCGTATGCTTGAGCTTCATCATACGCGTCCCCCACGAGAACAACATTAGCACCCAATCTTTTTACTGATTTCCACTGCTCATTTGGTAAAACAAAGAACAATTTAAAAAAGAAATGAGCTCAAAAATAGTTAAAACAGGACAGCTATATATGGGAAGCATAAAAGGCAACCCGGTGCAGAAGTTAGGCGGATGTAGGACTTAAGTTCTACGGGTTCAATCTTTAACATATTTAACCCATTGTATATTTTTTAATATTATGAGTTCATAACTACTAATTTTTGCAATTTTAACGAACTTCTATACATATGTTCCACGAAGAAAGTACTGGGTTCATATGAACCCGATACTACCACTCTACATCCGCCTCTGACTAAGTATCCCACGTTTATACAGGATCAAAGGAAGGGTTGCGCCCTAAGGGGGTGTGATGTAGCAGCATAACATGACGCAAGCATTGGTAGCTGATTTCACGGCTCGGCCCTGTGGCCTATAGGTCCAAGGGGGTGTGATGTAGCAGCATACCATGACGCGAGCATCAGTAGCTGGTTTCATGGCTCGAACCTGTGATCTATAGGTCATACGGAAATAACTTTGTCGTTGCTCCAAGGTTCCCTTCATATATGGAAGCCATAAAACCCAAAATTCATAGCAAATTCTAACCTTAATCCGCCTCTGACTAAAGTATCCCACGTTTATATAGGATCAAAGGAAGGGTTGCGCCCTAAGGGGGTGTGATGTAGCAGCATAACATGACGCAAGTATCGGTAGCTGATTTCACGGCTCGACCCTGTGGCCTATAGGTCCAAGGGAGTGTGATGTAGCAGCATACCATGACGCAAGCATCAGTAGCTGGTTTCACGGCTCGAACCTGTGATCTATAGGTCATACGAAAATAACTTTGTTGTTGCTCCAAGGTTCCCTTCATATATGAAAGCTATAAAACCCAAAATTTATAGCAAATTCTAACCTTAATCTCTGGTGTAGTAACAGGCATCACAATGACAGCATCGCAGCCAAGTCTTTGAGCAGCTAATGCAACGCCTTGCGCGTGATTCCCAGCTGATGAGCATATGACCCCTCTTTTCAGCTGCTCTTTGGAGAGATTTACCATCATATTGTATGCACCTCTAAGCTTGAATGAGAAGACCTGTAAAGAGTATATGAACAATGTTACTAACTGGTCATCTCCAATTAATGCAGAAATATCTACAACTATAAGAATCTACTCTATATCAGAAGAATTTCAGAAGCTATCAGAATAGTAGAAATAAGTATGAACTATTTATGTTAACACTAGAATAAGAAATGAATTTGGGGAAAGAAAAACACAAGATTAGACAAATCTTTATTTTTTTGTTCTAAAAATGAAGTTGCATAACCAAACGCCGTTGCCGGGGATCGAACCCGGGTCACCCGCGTGACAGGCGGGAATACTTACCACTATACTACAACGACTTGTTGATTTGAGTTGAGAATGGACCGTATATCTAGTAAATATAACTTCCTTATTTAGCTCAGTTACAAGAATGATGGAATTAGCTGTTTTCACATCTTTTTGTTTCTTGGTTTGAACTTTGAGGTATGATGAAACCATTGTTTACTTTTGCTTTTTTTTTTTTCCCCCTTAGGAATGAAATCCCACCTAACTCCAATGAACCTAAGCTGATATAACTTAAAAATATTTGGAAACTTATACAACGGAACAAAAGTTTTATCCTTTATCATTATCACTTGTTTTAGCCTAGGTTATTAAATGGAAAATATGCTGGGTTCCCTCACCTATCATGCTCCTACAAATTTATGGACAATAGTTCAAACACAAAAAATAAAAAAAAGACAAAAAAAAAAAAATGTGTTATACTTTAGTCATAACTTGAAACACAACTTCATTTTCCTAGAAAAATTATGACTAATAGTTTAAAATATTATTACCTAAAACTTGCTTCACGCTCTTACAAATCTTATGGACGATAGTTACAATCATAAATAAATTATGTTGTCCTAATTTAGCCTTAATTTGTAACATACTTGTTGCTCCTATAAATTTTAAGTTTATTGTTTATTATTATTGATAACCCACCGATTATGGAGTCCATTACGCAGATGATCACTGAACTACTGGAAATTATGGAGCAAAGTCACTTTTCTACTTGTAACAAGAAAGTCACTCAATTATTCCTATTGCACATTGATCATTACTCAACCGGATTTCTTAATATTTTCCGGTGAGAATAACTGACTTGGCAGTCCACATAGACTTTTTATATTTTTGGCAACATAAAATAATTATCACCCAAAGAAAAAATAAATCCAACCTAATCCATTAAAGGTAAACCCACCCGAAATAAACCTTACTCCTAAACGTATCTCTCTTCCAAAAACCCTTTTACCTATTATTATTTTATGAAACTCTCTTCTTCTTCCCTCAAGTAGAAGTTTTCATGGTTTTACTAATCCAACTGAACTTTCAGCATCGAAAATAGTTAATAAGAGCAGTTATTTAGTTACATGGTATATCATAGTCCAATTAATACCATTCAGAAATTAAGACTATCAACTTTCCATGACTCATTTGATTCCCTCGATATTATTTTGGTTCCACCATTGTGTCTCTTATTCTCTTAATTTTTAAAAGAATAATAATAATGGGTACAAGGGAGAGCAACAGAGATATGCTTATACGTAAAAGGAGTGAAACAAAATTTCTTTAAAAATAAGACGGGAATGCAATAAATAAACTATAATGTAAGATTAAATAAATGAAAAAAAAAAAATAGTACTCCAACTGATTTTATTAATATGATGTGTTACAAAGTCCGATGGTTCAAGCGAAGAAGAAAAGAGTTACTATATAAAATAATAATGGGTCCAAGAATTTTTGGAAGAAAGATGCGTTTACAAGTAAAAGTTTATTTCGGGTGGTATTAAATTTAATGGCCAGGTTGGGTTAATTTTTATTTGGATGATAATTATTTTACGTGGCAAAAAATATAAAAAGCTCATGTGGGCTGCCAAGTCAGCTTTTTCTACTGCATAATATTAAGAAAACCGACCGAGTGATCATCGATCAGATGGAATAAGGATAGTTAGGCGACTTTATTGTTACATATAAAAGAAAAATGACTTTAATTCATAATTTTCAACAGTTCAATGATCATCTAAGTAATGGACTCATCGATTATAGCGAAGTAGATACATTAAGTTATAATGACAATTTGCTTAAGTATTCGATCAATTTATAAAAGGTATACACATGTTCCTCGAGGAAATGGGCTTTTATGACCATTTACAATATTAAAATTATAACAATGTCCTTTTTACATCTCTTATATATTGGATTATTCAAGTTGGATTATTTGAGAATCGACAGGCGTTAACTACTACTCTTTTTCTTAATTATTACTGAAAGAGTGACACCTACCTAATATTTTCAAAAAAAAATATTAAACAACAACAATATAGAAAATCTACAAAAAGATTTACAAAAATAAGGTATTGTCATTTAATAAAATTTCAACTCACCTCTTCAAGCTAATTTAAAAGTGGTAGTAGGAAATAGATATCTAAGAAACTTTACCATAATTTTCACTCGAGCAACTTCTTTTCCATTTCGTCCAAATGTTTTTTTTTTGTTGACATTTATCTATATAGATAGTAGAAACTACTAAAGATTATTACTACCTCATAACGTGAATTTTGTTTAATTAATATTTCCATCTTTTAACGAAAGATCGTTCATTTATTGCCACTTGATTCTATTTTTTGTTATTTTTTATAAGAAATATTAGTTTATAAAAATCTTCTTTAATCAATTTACTCGTTTCTAGGGAGGATTGAACTTGTTGAAATGAAAGAGTTTATAGAAAGCACAAAATTCATTAATTCTCGTGTGTAGCACATGGGCTCATGTCTCCTAGATGATAATATAAAATCAAATGAAAACACATAAGTTATCCCTAAAGTTCTCCCCAAGACTCAATTACACACTTTAATTTTATGAGCGTCTCATTACCTCCCCATTTCTGTTTTTTTTTTTTATCTGAAGTGAAATTAATACTACCAAAACATATATTCCCACATCCCCTTCCCCATACTATGTACATGGAAGGGGCAAGCTCGTAAAACTACATAAAAATAAATTACTCCTTTTGTTTATTTTAGTTATTTACTTTTGATTTTGTACTCCCTAAAACAAAAAAATATTTGAAGTATGTATTTTACAGTTTTACGCATAATAATGATATCATTTCAAAAAGTATTGACAAAGAATTGGGGACTAAGTAATTAATGTAAAACAAGAAAAAAAAAATTATCTTTCTCTTGATTTGCTAAAATGGACAAGTAAAAGTGAAAATATATTTTTTGGAATAGTGGACAAGTAAAAATGAATAAAGTACTACTAGTAGTACTTTGATGTAAATTCTAAAAGTTTTACCTAGTTTTGAAGCTTTAAAACCTTACAACATTTCAAAATTAACGAAATAATAGTTTTGTGCAGTTCTTTATCTTTTGCATCAATTACAATTTACTGACTAAATAGCTAAAGGGAAATAGATGGGAAAAGTAAAGAGTTTCCAAATAAACAAGGCTGCTTACCAGACTTGAGAAAGTTCAAACAGAGTTACTCTTTTTCTTTTTCCCCGAATAAAGTTACTCTCATTCGATATGATTTCTAAAATATAAGTGGTCAAAGAGCAAACCATAAAACTTCGATAACTATATGGATGTTTAATTAAGGGAAGTGAGTACTGCTTTCCAAAAAAGAAAGAGAGATTTTAAAATGAATATGGATTGAAATTTGAAAGGGCACACACGTACTTCAGGTTCTTAGCTGTTAATTTTTTTTTTTTTAAAAGAACTGCAAAGCTTAAGTATTTCCTTACCACAATTAACAAATATATATATTTTCATACAACAAATAAATATTACTTGAGCAATATCTTTTGGTAAATATGAAATACTTAAGACCATCTTATTTGTATACGGTCAAAATCGGGCTTGTCCTGGAACGAGGCAGGCCAAGGTTCGACCCAGTTGCGGATGTACATGGATACTTATGGGTGCTTGAGCACCCATTACTTTTAACCGGATTTAGTAAATTTGCATAGGCAATTATAAAATAGTTAGGTAAATATAGAGTGAGCACCCATAACTAAACTTTTTTCCTCTTCATTCGGATTTTTTGTCGGCGAGCACCCATCACTTTAAAATTCTGGATCCGCCACTGGTTCGACCCTATGTTATATCGGACCGCCGTGTAAAGTTAGATTGTCGAGCTCGAGACCCAGAGACCGATCGAGATTCAGGTCGGCCAAGATTGGAGCCAAGCAGGATAGATATCGAGCAAGGTCGAGGGAAGCTTATCGAGTCAAATAACGGAAAACCAAAATATCCCCAGTCGGGCGAGGATCAAAGCCGAAATCTCGGCACGTATCAAGAAGAGGCCGACTAATTAGCCAATCATGGGATTTCTTACTGTATTTAGAATTATACCAAGAGTAGAATTTTCCTACTATATAAAGGGGTTTGATCATTTGTAAAACACATTATATTCACGCAATTCAAAGCAATATACTATTCTGATCTAAGCTCTCCATACTATTCTGTTATTTATTTCATATATCACTTTGCTCGTTCCTTTGGTTCTAGGGTAATCTATCTCAAAGGCCAAAGCTGCATATCTCATTTTGTTTGCTTTATTCTTATTTTCAGTTAATTTCAATATCAATATTGCTTTTTTCTCAGTTTGTACCAAGTAAAATCACGTGTCTATAAAACCACAATATAAATTCAATTGTTATCCGTTTTTGGGATAAACATTATTAAAAGTTTAAGATGATAGAGAAAGTATATCTTAATTTTCTTAACTATAGTATTTTTAACACTTCCCTCCCGTGAACATGATTTTTATAAACTTACAGGGGGAACACATTTTTTTCTACATAATTATGTTTTTACTACACCATCTCACTTGAACCTATTGTTTTTATGGGCCAAGAATATGGAAATTCTTGTTTTGATAACGTGAAAATCGAACTCGTGATCTTTGTTTGCTTTAATAAGTAGTTCTTCTATTTTAATTTATGTGATACTTTATTTATTGGGAGTCAAACTATGTGAAGTTTGACTAACAGTTTAAAATATATTTTTTATATATTGAAATGATAGTAAGTGTAACTTACAATACTTTTCATATAGTTTTTGAATATTCAAATTCTAATTTTGAAATACTAAATTGAACTAATCCAATCTACCTTCAAAGTTTAGTCAGGTGAACTCTCGATAAGCAAAATATGTCATATAGATTGAGACCGATGGAGTATCGTATCGTATTAAAGCGAGTGATCATCTTTTCTAAACATTTAAGTCGTTTATGAAGTATTTGTTTTTTGTTTAATTATTATATCTTCGAGAAATGAAGCTAACAAAATATAATTACGTAAACTATAGGATGAGAAACATACAGGTTGAAGATCCTCTCGTTTAAGCCAAACGTTAACCCCCAACTTCTCTGAAAGCTTCGGCGCAAGCTGCAATGGCGATTCATTTGCTACATCGTACACTTTCGTACCCAATATATCCACCAAATACTGAAATCCGTTCTCACCTCCATTACCGCCTACCGGATAATTCGGTATCAAGTACCCAGGCTCGCACTGTAACGAATTCGGAGAAACTACTAGCAATGGAGTCGGAGGAGGAGGAGATGGTGGTGAAACTTTGATTGTCAATGTATCTACGGCCGTCACCGGTAAATTAGGCAACAATTCCACCGCCGCTTTGGACATGGCGGTGGAAATTTTAACGGTGTCATAATTGCCGTTAATGGCTGATATTTTTGCCGGGAATTTGGGGCGTGAAAAAAGTGAGTTTACAGGGGCGAAAATTAGACCTGCCATATTGAACTATGCGCAAGTGATGGATATGTATTCACTTCTTCACTTAAATAGGCGAAGGAAAAAATAAGAGAGAATTCAAAAAGTATGGTACCTAATTAATTAATACTTAACAATTAATAAGTTTCAACCACACCACCAAAAGTTGTGTTGCTTTGATAAGTACCTAATTATTCTTATTTACGGATTTTCGAGTCTCGGGAATGGAATTACTTTAGATTAATAGAGGCAGATTCAGGATATGAAACTTATGTGTTCCTACATCGACTTTAAGTAAATTTGCAATAATAACTAGGTTCATGAATATATATTTTTAGATATTATTTAGTGAACTTCTTAATATATAAATAGAGTCTGAGCAAAAGCTACTGAGTTTCTGTTAACCCGTATGTCCTACTCTAGATCCGCCCCTACTTAGATAGAAAGTGTTTACCTCACACCGCCTCTAAAATTCAGCATATTTGTTTTATGCTTTCTCTTTTATGTGTTGGGGTTTTAATGAGAGAATCAAATTTACTTTAACTTTTTGTGTAAATTTGAACATAAAATCTTCTACTAAATTTTTTAAAAATAAAATTATTTAATAATTACATAAAAAATACTATAAGTCATAATATTAATAATTTAAAATAGTTAACAAATATTTAAAATGTTGGTAATGGAACATACATCTTTAATTATCTAGTGCCACATAAAAATAGACTGGAGAAATTATTACTTCCAAAATAGACAAGGGAAAGGACGGTTGGACTACAATTAGAAAAAAACATCCGAGTTCTTTGTTTATATTGGAGAAAATCCAATTATGCATTAACTTGGTGCACTAGGCTAAAACTATGGCATAGGCTACATGGCTAAAATTGGGCATAGAGTTAAGAGTGTGGTTTCAATAAATACTGAATTAGTTATGCACCTCTATATTTAGTAACTTCAACTAAGTGGTGTTTGATACTACTATTTTTTATTTAATAAAGCATCTTAAATTGACCAATATATACTAAAAGGTACTATTCAATTAGCATTACATTCTGCCTACCAGTCGTATATTGATTGTGCACCAAATAGTCTAAACAGACGTCACAAATAGTAGACTGCCAAATGTTATAATGGGCAGACCAAACATCCCAGCCCGAGCAGTGAATTAAGCATGTACAATCAGATATCTCTATAACAATCATCGTCTATAATAATATTTTATTATAATGACCAAGTTTCTTTGGAACCACTCTTTCATATTATATGTTAATATATATTCTCTATAACAACTATTCACTATAGCAATAAAAAATATCGAAACAGAACGACTGTTATAAAAAAGTTTGGCCGTATATATATGAAGGGATCCACCCCCAATTACCTTTAGAAAGACCATCAAATTAAGTATTTCCCCCTCCTCAATCAAGTTTTAAATTTAAGTCTTGGATATAAATTCATTTTGGTCGAAAACACTTTAGCCTTCAAAGTTCGATATTCCTATGCAGATTCGGATTAACAGGGCTTCAAAGCGGATACCAATTAACAAGCGCACAACCTCTAACGTAATTTTATAAGTGGGGTTTGGGGAGGGTATTATATACGCATACATAATCCTTACCTTATGAATATAGATATGTTATTTTCGATAGACCCTCGGCTCAAGAACAGTAAAGGAAACAATAAACAATAACAACAACAAGGTAATAGGACAACGAAAGCAAATGACACAGCATGAAAAGCATAACAATAAAGGTTTCGATTTTAACACTGACACTTTTTATGTGGACAATACTCTATCAAAATATTTTTCTCTTAAAAAAAGATTATCTATATATATATATATATATATATATATATATATATATATAT